TAAAGCAATTACCTGTCAGTATGACATCTCCCTCAAGAAGGGTCATAATAGAGCTTATGTGGCTAATAAGAAAAGGAAGCTTAAAAATCATGTCCTTGGTTGAACCCTTCTGCCTTATTTCATCATCTACCTGCAGTTAGAGCAAACAAATAGACTAAGATCAGTTTACATAAATGAGAATCAAGCACTCATTGTTCTGTGAATGTAAGACTGAGAATTTGACACCTTGAGCCACAATTCCAAGTTGTCAGGGTCTGGCACCAAAGATTTGTCCAGCTGAGAAAGGTTTTGGAATCAAAACAATAGACAAAATCAGAAAACTGCCAAAAGAGAAAACACTCAAACTAAAGTCAGATACTTGAAAATCTATTATAAGCAATCTATGGAACTCAGTTCTTAAGGTAAGTTTCTTCCAAGCCCACTGGCTGGCTAATCTCAAGTCAGAGTTCATCTATGTTGAATTCGCCAGACAATCCAAACTGACATCGTCAGGCAAAACCTATCATTCATCCCAGCAACCCATCATCCAGAATTTATCCTTCTGCATGACCTCAATATTGAATTTGATAAAAGGAAAATTAAGCAATAGCATTTTCACTTACCACAGAGCTAATTGGTGTGAAAGTATCTTGCCCTTTTGCTACTGTCCATGGAAGACCTGCGGACTACCAACAAGAACAACAGGGAACAGATGAAATCAATTTCATTTAGAGTTGAACGGATCCTCAAGAAGAAAAAATTTTGGATCCACAGAAAAATGAGGAAAATATTATACATGTAGGAGCTGAAAAAATAACAAAAGTAGGTTGGTCTTAGTTGATGTCCACAAAATCATAGGCCCATTAAGTTCCAGGGAATAATCATGTCTAATGTGCTGAGCTAGTTAATCAGCTTAAAAAGACTTTCCCAGTGTTTATTGCGAGGACATGTCACCAAAGGGAAGGTCTCACTCAAATGATAACATTACGATTTGACAAATGCTAAAGTTTCTTCTGAAAACTACCAGCCACCTCATCTTTGATAGCAACTTTTTTCTGAAACAAAAGATACAGCTGGTAGATAATCGAACATTTAGTACATTTCAGGAACAAAGAGAAAGGGAGGCCACCAATTCTATCCGTAAAAGATTTAAAGAAACAGGAAATACACCTTCGCAGAAGATTGGATCTCCCTAGCAGTCATATCCAGTCCAAGAGCATACCCTACAATTCATGAGCATACCAGCTTCACTACCTCAAAGATTGAAAAATCTTCTATCGAACGAAAAGCACAGATCAGAGAAACAAAATCACGAAAAAGACGGAATAGAGAGTCAACGACTGATTAGTTGAACCTTCTAGTTACTCAGTGATCCCTTCACTTAGCATCATAATATCCAAAGCCATCCACATTCAGTATCCCAAACCTCCACAATATATAGAAGTTAGGTGAAAAACAGCTCCAATTACAGATCACACACTCAACCACAATGTAATGTATTTCATGCACCATCCCAGGATCGTAATGTGCATTTAAGCTTGTATAACCGCGAAAAGGTTTGTGTTGCTTGCCCCAAAACACAATCTAATTGACTAAAACTCGAGGAGGGACAAGCAAAGCATAGACCAGCTCCGTCCGGAAGTTGACAATTTATGCTAGGACGCGTTTTGCAAGCACCAACAACAATGGGGAAAAGCATTAATGGGAATTATAGACGAGAAAAGCATATAGCTTCAATTAATAGTTTTCAAAATGACATCGCATTACCTTCTCTTGATCAGGGTCAATTCAGCACGAATAACAATCTAGTCGCCGGTTTAACAGAAAAAACAAAGGTAGATAGATATTCATGTCCATGATGACCAAGATATTGTACGGTTCGGAATCATCCCCCGGAAAAATTCGCTGATTCTCCTATTCAGCTTCATAATCACCCCCCATCTCCAATGAAGTTGTATCATGAACCAGAGACAAATTATCCTATCCTTACTAGCTCGAGTCCAATACCAAATGAAACTCACTCCGCCCAAAAGATCCAGATAGTTAGAAGGCATCCCCAATCAATATGTGAACGACACCGCAAATCACGACGCCATGAAGTCCGTACACTAAGAGGACGGCAGCAAAATCCATCAAAGCGCACGCAAAGCGATCACCAGATTCGAAGTTACCTCCGACATAGTCCATGGCGGCCGACTCGGGAACGTCCCGAGCTTTCCGCCCGATCACGACCGCGAGCTCCACCTCGTGGTGGAGCGACAGCAGTGGGGGCGGCACCTCGATCGTCCCCCCGTTTTCCAAGTACGACGACGTCGGCTTCAGGAACAGCACCGGCTCCTAGTCACCGGAAACATCGCGCGCGCGAATCGTCGGGGTCAAACGATCGGCGCAAACAAAGGAACCGATTCAAGAAGACGACGGAAGGCGGAGAGAGAGAGAGAGGGAGAGAGGGAGAGTGTACGGGTACCTTGGGAACGGCGTTGCCGAGTTCCTTGGCGTGGGCGGTGTAGTTGCGGCCGACGGCGACGATTTTGGTGCCGACCTGGAGCAGCTTTTGGAGCCCGATCGATGCCATCGGCCGTGCGAAGAAGCAGCAGCAGCAGCAGAAAGTCGGTCGATCGATCGATCGATCGAGAGAGAGACCGCAGAAGAGGACGACGAAGTTGAGTGTTCCAATTGCCGTCCACTTTAATATTCTTTGTTTTTTTTCTCTCTCATTTATTTAGCCATCAACAATAAGGAAAATGTTAAAAATAAATATAAATGTGCGGAGCGTGATTAGTAGTAGTAAAGTCAAGAAATTTCGATCGATCAAAATCTAGTGATCCTGTTAAAAGGAAAAATAAGAATCTTCGGTGTTATATTTCTAACATGAGATCCATGAGATTGTACTTTCTGTGATATAGAAATTCAGAAGCCAGGCGATTAATTAATGTGTTTGTGCATACATAGATAACATCGGCGAAAGAAGAAATGCGCATGCCTGTGATAGCAAAAACGAAAAATAAGGTCGTAACCGTGTGTGTATTGAAGATAAATGTTTAGAGATGCACTTATCAAAAAACGAAAAAAAAACGCCTGGAGACTCAAATTAGTTTAGAAAATAAGTAGAGTCGTAAGATGACAAATATTTTATCGTTTAATTTGTAAAGTAGATACATTTCTTGAATTGTCAACGACATTTATCTTGGTGGATTATCAATGTGTTAAGTTACTAACTTTCATTCGGAATGTCAACCTTAATTTGATCGACGTACCTGTACCGCTACATCGTGCAACAGATGTTGGTGAATAAAAATTTGAGGAAAATCCAATACTAGACCTACGTTCGTCCAAGCAATATTAGGTAGGATGCACGCACTTGTAGGGGAGGGAATAACACTTTTCGCATCCTAAACTAGACGTGTTCGTGCTACTTTGCTCCCTGAATTTTCAATTTTCCACAGTGCATTTTTGAAACATGAAATCATGGACAACTTTCCTTTTTCCTGGAAAAAAAAAATTATAAGATTCATTGGATTCAAACGAGCCTCATGCTTCCAATAATTTCTCCGGCCCGTTCCGATTATATAAATTGAAATAAACAAATATCTCCATTCGATACCAAAAGAATGGAACAAATACGATTTTTTCATGAGACTGGCCGCTTTGCCGGGGAAGGTGAATCACAGTTTTCCATCATGGTCGAAAGACGAATGCCAAAGGGAATATAGAAATCCAGGTTTGACCATTGACTATCGCATCTCCCGATCTTCGAAAGGGAGACTAACAAAATTTATCTTCGACCGGAAGCCAAGTCCTCCATCTGCTTACCGCAATACAATTTGCAAATATAGTCCCGATCGATGAGGAGGTCATTATGGTCTTTGCACAAATAGTCCCGATTGATCTTTCTATACCTCAGCATTTTTAATCGGGAAAATGACACAAACAGTCTCTAAACCTTGGCTTAATATGTAATGTGATCTCTAAACCTTTAATTTATTCAATATCGTCCCTGAACTTGTAGTACGTGTTCAATTTAATCCATGAATTATATGAAAATGTTCGATATAGTCCATAAACTTGAATTAATGAAAGGATATTATTGAATATTTTCATATAGTTTAGAGATTTTATTGAACATGTATCTAAGTCCATAAACCAAATTAAATAAATTATAAATTCAGGGTCTACATCGAATATTAAAAATGTACCATCTAAACTTAGTAAAGTATATACTCATCTATCGTTCATCCAATGTCATGGGTCCAAGTGTTATTGGAGCATCAAAAGCAACCAAAAAGTACATGACTTGAAACTGCCCTACAGTTTCTTCTGGCATTAGGTGATGTGCGATGCTTTAAAAGAGATCCATGGCTGATCACGACGTGGCCCGAGTTGAATTAAAGAGCGAGCGGTTGGTACAGCACTCGGAAAGGTGGATTTCTCACTTTGGGACGTAACGCTTACGTAGTTAATGCATCGTCTGCGATCACTGTTTATGATATTCGATACACGTGAAAATTATTAGCACGACCAAGTTAGGATTTCCTTTTTCTGCAAATATTGATTGTGCTGAGCTCTACGCCCTTAAAAAGAAATTTCGCACCCAAATTGCAAATAACGATCCTCGAATTATGTTTTCAAAGGTGGAACCCATGCCTCAAAAAGTTTAATGACTCCCGGTAGTATAAAAAGAAAACCAAGTGAACTATGAAAAGCTTTGAGTCGCTTCTTGATCCAAAAGAACAGACAGATATGGTAGGCCAAGATCGAGCAGCTTCGAGCCAGTCTATTGCTTTGCATGTGGATGTGAAAAAGAATACAACAGTCTATCTTTCCAACACCAACTCCAATTGAACTTGCACGATAGCATTACAGCTCTCTTATCTCTAATTGGTGCAGCGAAAGTTCTCACTTGGAGAGTTCAGTTGAATGTCCTAATGAATTTTCTGCCAGAACAGAACCACACTAGAGCATGCAAGATTTTGCAATCATTTGAAATGCTTAGTTCAAGAACTTCCTGGTCTTCGACGTTGCTAAACATTGAAGTGAATGTCGATTAGACCTGTTATGCCAGCAGTGATCTTTTGACCTACTTTAACAGGGCCAACACCTTGGGGAGTGCCTGCACAATCAAACACCGAAAAAAAAAAACATTATTAGACACAAAGAAAGCAACTTCTGAATCTAAGCCTTGGGAAAGGGAGTTGAGAAACATTAAAGACTTGGTTTTTCAGGTCGTCCTATTGACAACATGCTGTACAAACCAAGAATTCTAGATACTGCAAAAGAACTTCATAGCAAGAAGACATCTGACACCAAAAAGTGACACAAAAGATTGAAGCAAGTACCTGTCAGTATGACATCTCCCTCAAAAAGGATCATAATGGAGCTTATGTGGCTAATAAGATAAGGAAGCTTAAAAATCATGTCCTTGGTTGAACCCTTCTGCCTTATTTCATCATCTACCTGCAGTCAGAGCAAACAACTAGACTAAGATCAGTCTACATAAATGAGAATCAAGCACTCATTGTTATGTGAATGTAAGACTGAGAATTTGACACCTTGAGCCACAATTCCAAGTTGTCATGGTCTGGTACCAAATATTTGTCCAGCTGAGAAGGGTTTTGGAATCAAAACAATAGGCAAAATCAGAAAACTGCCAAAAGAGAAAACACTCAAACTAAAGTCAGATACTTGAAAATCTATTATAAGCAATCTATGGAACTTGGTTCTTAAGGTAATCTTCTTCCAAGCCCACTGGCTGGCTAATCAGGTCAGAGTCCATCTACGTTGAATTTGCCAGACAATCCAAATTGACATCGTCTGGCAAAACCTATCATTCATCCCAGTCCTTTATTTTTTAGCCACATTTTGTAATTGTTGAATTTCTATAGTGAATTTTGTTTTTCCTCTCCTCTGTGGTTTTTCCCGCAGGGGATTTCCACGTAAATCTGCATGTTCTTTTATTATTCTCAGTTTTAACTTCATTGTATTTTTTGCATATGTCATAACGGGGTGTTTGTAATGGTCCTTGAGAATTGAGCCAGTCTATTAGTTGGAAAGCTTCCAAGATTTTGTGTATTACAACATTTTGAATAGGAGTCAAGAAAAAAAATGCAAAGAGGGATAATTTGTTATGATATGAGGATTCGTTTTTTAATCGACCATGAAACTGCCACAATCAATAAAATGTCCAACTCAAAAATTATTTCCTCCATTAAAAAAATTATTTATTCATTGAATCTCCAATGTTATACAGTAGAATAGACGATATGTCATCGTGCATCATACAAGTTTCAGTCCTCAAAATCCCTTTAGCTATACCAGCCACAGTAATTATATCATCTGATGACAACATGGATGACCCGGACAACATGGCAGCGGTGGCGGCGGCTGCAACCACGAGCACGGTGGTGGCAGTTGCAACCACGAGCATGGCGGTTGTGGCTCTATCCACAAGCACGGCAGCAGCAACAGAGGCGTCGGCGGAGTCGGCGGAGTCGGGCGGCGTCGGGCGGAGTCGGGCGGAGTCGTCGGCGTCGGGCGGCGTCGGCGGAGTCGGCGGCATCGGCAGCGTCGGCGGCATCAGCGGCATCAGCAGCAACGTTGCCATCGTTGTCGACGGCGACTGAGACGTTAGCTTCTGCGGCAATGTCGGTCACAGATTGATTTTTGGAATCTTAACCGTTAATTTCAGTGAAGTGGCGGTTTGTCTGTCTGTCTCTCTCTCTCTGTCTAAACAATAATATCTCTGTCTCTCTCTCTCTCTCTCTCTCTCTCTCTAAACAATAATATCTCTGTCTCTGTCTCTCTCTCTCTCTCCTGTAAAAACTCAGCTCTACAAGGAACCGCACGCATTACACTCGGAAGCAGAACACAGATTCGACTGAAGGAGAGCTGAATAACAGAGGGGAGACCTGAAGGAGCACATGGAAATGGCTACTCGCGTGAATTTAACGGCATGGTTGATTATGGTGATTTCGGCCGGCTTCATACATGCGGCGGCGGCGGCGACGACGTACACGGTCGGAGATGAATTGGGGTGGACTGTCCCCTCCAACATATCCTATTACCAGTCTTGGGCTGCCTCCAAGACTTTCATGGTCGGCGACCAGCTATGTATAAGCCCCTCCTTTTACCTTGTTCTTATTCTTTCGTTTGTTTCCTATTCCTCGTACATGCGCAAGGTTTTCTCTTTCACCATTAATTTGTCGGGCAATTATTTAAGTGAGCTATTCAAGAACGGAGCGATTTGCATGTACATGTGAGAATGAATCGATTTCCAACGACTCATATTGTCTAGCAAAATCTGACCTTTGGAGGATTCAGTTTTACGCAATCAAGTAGAGATCCAGATTTATGGATATGACTTGATCGATGTCATTGATCTCTCTCTAGATCAAAACAGAGTCATGACTTCTTGTGTGATTTCTACAGTGTAATCGATTTTGCACGTCATATCATTCATGAAATGAGCATACTTTGTTTCAGCTTTCAATTGGACCGGGACGCATAATGTGGCCGAAGTATCAAAGGCCGAGTACGACAACTGCACCCAGGTCGTATCTGTTATGGGCAGTCCGGTGAACATCAAGCTCTTGAAGGGCGGGTCTTACCATTACATCTGCACCGTCGATTCACATTGCGAGCTTGGTCAAAAGCTGTCCATCACCGTCGGATCGTCCGCAGCCGCTCCGGCCTCACCGAGCAATTCCGCTCCGTCGACGCCTCTCGACTCCAGTGTCTTGGTCTCTGCATGTATCACCATCGCTTACTGTGTCATTATACTCGCCAGTGAATTGAATGTCGTACATTATATTGGATAAACGCGTTGGTGTCGCCTCTATAATGTAAGGAAAATAAGGTCAATTGTCTCTTTCTTGGCCTATAAGAAAAGAGAGTCAATTCATGTGAGTTAGATTGCCGCTGTTTGTTGATTTCTACTTGTTGATTTCGATCAATGGAATCCACAAACCTGAACTATGAGCGGTGAAGTGAACACCATATCTTTAGAGAAAAGTGAAATTTGAGTCATTCATCCGGTCCCTTCCTAATTACCCCTGCATTATACGATAGGAAAGTCAAAAAATTAGGTGATAAATATAAACAAACATATCTTAAAACAATCCGCCTTCTCCAATTCACTTCCTTAACCACCTAGCTTGCAAAGGCGTAGTGCGTGCACTAATGTATATAACGCTAAGACATGTCTTGTAAGTTGAGAGAGGACCCTCCACAAGCTCCATCGCATATGACTAAACCAAACGAGAAACTCGATCTGACGATCAAGAGAAGAAGTGATGAAATCTATTTAGGTTCAGATCCGGCACTCTGCTAATCAAAGTTTTGCCATCGACCGTGCTTCAAGCTGTGGCGTTCACTCAATCAATTGTTTATCAATCATACAATTGACATAAAGAAGCCATAAGCAATGTCCAAAAAGATCAAAGCGAAGCAGCACAAGAAAGATGACTTCTGATGAGGGATTGGCGGTGGGGTTCCTGGGGAAGTTTCTTTCTTGTAATGCTGAAGAAAGTGACGCAAATATAAGTTTGCACTATCTGAACTTAGTGAGTGAAGTATATAGTCATCCATCGTTCATCCAATGTCAACGGTCCAAGTGTTATTGGAACATCAAAAGCAACCAAAAAGTACATGACTTAAAAGTTAAAACTGCTTTACAGTTTCTTCTGGCATTTGGTGATGTACGATGCATAAAAGGATCAATGGCTGATCACGACGTGGCCCGAGTTGAATTAAAGAGCGAGCGGTGGGTACAGCACTCGAAAAGATGGATTTCTCATCTTTGGGATGTAATGCTTACGTAGTTAATGCATTGTCTGTGATCGCTGCTTATGACATTCGATATTCGTAAATATTATTATCTCGACCAAGTTAGGATTTCCTTTTTCTCCGGATATTGATTGTACTGAGCTCTACGCCCTTAAAAGAAATTTCATGCTCGAATTGCAAATAACGATCCTCGAATTATGTTTTCAAAGGTGGAACCCATGCCTCAAAAAGTTTAATGGACTCCCAATAGCAAAAAAAAAAACCAAGTGACTTATGAAAAGCTTTGAGTCGCTTCTTGATCCAAAAGAACAGACAGATATGATAGGCCAAGATCGAGCAGCTTCGAGCCAGTCCATTGCTTTGCATGTGGATGTGAAAAAGAATACAACAGTCTATCTTTCCAACACCAACTCCAACTGAACTTGCACGGTAGTATTACAGCTCTCTTATCTCTAATTGGTGCAGCCAAAGTTCTCACTTGGACAGTTCAGTTGAATGTCCTAATGAATTTTCTGCCAGAACAGAACCACACTAGAGCATGCAAGATTTTGCAGTCATTTGAAATGCTTAGTTCAAGAACTTCCTGGTCTTCGACGTTGCTCAGCATTGAAGTGAATGTCGATTACACCTGTCATGCCAGCAGTGATCTTTTGACCTACTTTAACAGGGCCAACACCTTGGGGAGTGCCTGCACAATCGGTTGCAAGAGATCATATGCCCGGTAAAAAACAAAACATTATTAGACACAGAGAAAGCCACTTCTGAATCTAAGGGAAGTCTAAGGAAAGGGAGTTGAGAAACAATAAAGACTTGGTTTTTCAGGTCATACTACTGATAACGTACTGTACAAACCAAGAATTCTAGATACTGCAAAATAACTTCATAGCAAGAAGACATCTGACACCAAAAAGTGACACAAGAGATTGAAGCAATTACCTGTCAGTATGACATCTCCCTCAAGAAGGGTCATAATAGAGCTTATGTGGCTAATAAGAAAAGGAAGCTTAAAAATCATGTCCTTGGTTGAACCCTTCTGCCTTATTTCATCATCTACCTGCAGTTAGAGCAAACAACTAGACTAAGATCAGTCTACATAAATGAGAATCAAGCACTCATTGTTATGTGAATGTAAGACTGAGAATTTGACACCTTGAGCCACAATTCCAAGTTGCCAGGGTCTGGTACCAAAGATTTGTCCAGCTGAGAAGGGTTTTGGAATCAAAACAATAGGCAAAATCAGAAAACAGCCAAAAGAGAAAACACTCAAACTAAAGTCAGATACTTGAAAATCTATTATAAGCAATCTATGGAACTTGGTTCTTAAGGTAATCTTCTTCCAAGCCCACTGGCTGGCTAATCTCAAGTCAGAGTCCATCTACGTTGAATTTGCCAGACAATCCAAATTGACATCGTCTGGCAAAACCTATCATTCATCCCAGTCCTTCATTTTTTAGCCACATTTTGTAATTGTTGAATTTCTATAGTGAATTTTGTTTTTCCTCTCCCCGTGGTTTTTCCGCAGGGGATTTCCACGTAAATGTAAATCTGCATGTTCTTTTATTATTCTCAGTTTTAACTTCATTGTATTTTTTGCATATGTCATAACGGGGTGTTTGTAATGGTCCTTGAGAATTGAGCCAGAATCCTTGATGACCGTTGAAAGAAAAAAAATTAAATCTCGTCTATTAGTTGGAAAGCTTCCAAGATTTTGTGCATTACAACATTTTGAATAGGAGTTAAGAAAAAAAATGCAAAGAGGGATAATTTGTTATGAAATGAGGATTCGTTTTTTAATCGACCATGAAACTGCCACAATCAATAAAATGTCCAACTCAAAAATTGTTTCCTCCATTAAAAAAATTATTTATTCATTGAATATCCAATGTTATACAGTAGAATAGACGATATGTCATCGTGCATCATACAAGTTTCAGTCCTCAAAATCCCTTTAGCTATACCAACCACGGTAATTATATCATCTGATGACAACATGGATGACCCGGACAACATGGCAGCGGTGGCGGCGTCTGCAACCACGAGCACGGTGGTGGCAGTTGCGACCACGAGCATGGCGGTTGTGGCTCTATCCACAAGCACGGCAGCGGCGTCGGTGGAGTCGGCGGCGTCGGTGGAGTCGGGCGGAGTCGGCGGCGCCGGCCGCGTCGGCGGAGCTCGGCCGTGTCGGCGGATCCGGGCGGCGTCGGCGGCGGCTCGGGCGGCGACGCTGCCATCGTTGTCGACGGCGACTGAGACGTTAGCTTCTGCGGCAATGTCGGTCACAGATTTATTTTTGGAATCTTAACCGTTAATTTCAGTGGTGAAGTGGCGGTTTTGTCCTTAGGATCACGACGAGATATGAGAAGGACACCGCCAGCAACCCATCATCCAGAATTTATCCTTCTGCATGACCTCAATGTTGAATCTGATAAAAAGAAAATTAAGCAATAGCATTTTCACTTACCACAGAGCTAATTGGTGTGAAAGTATCTTGCCCTTTTGCTACTGTCAATGGAAGACCTGCGGACTAACAACAAGAACAGTATGGAAGAGATGAAATCAGTTTCATTTAGAGTTAAACGGATCCTCAAGAAGAAAATTTTTCGATCCACAGAAGAATGAGGAAAATAATATACATGTAGGAGCTGAAAAAATAACGAAAGCAGGTTGGTCTCAGTTGATGTCCACAGAATCATAGGCCCAATAAGTTCCAAGCAATAATCACGTTTGATGTGCTGAACAAGTTAATCAGCTTATAAAGAATTTCCCAGGGTTTATTGCGAGGACATGTCACCATAGGAAAGGTCTCACTCAAATTATAAC